CGGCAGGGAATTAGACAGTGTTAGAGGATTTTAGAGTGTTTTGTCGGGCACTCCAGGGGTTCTGAGCATTCGAAGGACTTTTGTGGTCATTGCTACTTGAGTAGCCTAGCAATAGGTCAACAGTTATCCACGTTTTCCCTAAATCTTCCTGAACTTTTTTCACAAAAAAGAAAAAAGAAAAAAAAGCCAGCCTGAGTCTGTTACGCTGCACCTCCCCCTTCAAAAAAAAAAAAAAAAAAAAAAAAAAAAAAAAAAAAAAAAAAAAAAAAAAAACAAAAAAAACAAACAAACAAACTCCAATCTATTCGTGGGGAGCAGCACGTGCTGGGAACCGGGCCCAGCGTCCCTTATAATTGGAATACATTAATGATTGATGAGAATTTGGGATGATTCAGGAACACTTCCACGATACTTCGCTTCTGTGCAGGAGGGTGCCGGTTCGAGGCCATCTGTGTACGGCGGGGCATGATGCTCCAAACACACGTTGTTCAGTAATCACTTCCAGATGATTGAGATAACAAGCTAGAGATTGATGCTAGCCTTCTGCTATAGAAAACAATGAACTGATGAAGGAATCAACGTTCAGGATGCCTCTTGATTCATCCTGGGATACGTACGACTCCTTGACTGCTCGGAGGAAGTACACGGACCTCCATCAGAAGAGATGCGGGGTAGAAATATACGGCTGAGGAAATAGAACAGATTCTTTGACTTTCTAGGCGGGAGGTGATGTCGAGGTGGCGACTGTAAAAGCTTCATCTTCCCCCCCCCCCCCAAAAAAAAAAAAAAAGAAAGAACAGATATCTGCCTTATGGGATTCATCATGCTATTATCTTTAAAAAAAAAAGAATGGACTCTTATCTTTCCGCGTTGAATGTTGGACCTGCCGGACTTTCTTTTTTTTTTTTTTTTTTTTTTTTTTTTGGGACCTGCCAGACTTCGCGAGGATTTCACCCAACTTTATCTTCATTGAAGACAGCCACCCAATGTGACTCTCTACCTGGAATTACGATTGTTGATGTCATCTGAAACCACCCAATGTGACTCACTACCTGGAATTATAATCGTTGATGTCATCTGAAACCCGGTCACCTCTGATCAACAACGCTGACTTAGACGTACAAGCCAGATTCCAAGACAAAGCGACAAGGCCTTAACCTTGATGTCATCTGAAACCCGCGGCACAGTAGCAAATGACGCTCATCAAGGTAGTACTTGGGCACTGCGCACCGCGCCGGCCGCCCAAATCTCGAAGCAGCACGGGCTGTCGATTCGATTTATCGACGGCCCGCCGGCCGCTGAAATCGCGTAGCGTTAACGCTAAGGCGTCGCCCAAGTACTGGTGGTTTAAGGCCTGGTCACTTTTGTCTGGCCGTTGCATGTGGTGGGTGGTAGTACATGATCTTTGATCTAGATTAGAAATGACCATACCATTTCCGAGCCTTGGCTCCCCCCATACCAGACTCCTAATTGCAAAGATGAATGGACACAAAAGCACTCGGGTAAGCGGGTTGTTTTTTCTTCTGTTTTTTTTTTTTTTTTTAAATGAAATGAATATATATTTGTGGGGAGGATCACCCGGTTCCCAGCACGTGCTGCTCCCCACGAATAGATTGGAGCTTTCTTTCTTAAAAAAAAAAAAAAAAAAGGATCACGTGCTGGGAACGGAGGAGCCCAGCCGGTAAGTGGCTTATTTTCTGGAGGAGGGGGAAAAAAAAGGTATACCATTGAGTTTTCTGATCAGCTCCTCCATAGCGTCTGTATGTTCCTTTGCCTGCTTCTCGAGCTCTGACGTAATCCTGCAGAACAGGGATGAATAAAAAACATACAGAGTATTTTTGGTATGGACTCTTCAATCATCGGGGTTCTACAGCAAAGATAGCCAGTGGAGAACAGCTTGGGTACTTTCTATATTGGACATGTAGCATATCCAGGGCTGGCTCAGAACAACCACAGCAGAAATCAGGCATAGGTTGTAGCATTCCAGCTGTTTTACTCCTCACAATGCAATACGGGGTTACAAAAAAAAAAAAAAAAAAACATGCAATGTGTGGTAACAATGGGACGCTAGGGGCATGTTTCAAAAAAAAAAAAAAAAAAAAAAAAGGGACGCTGGACCTGCTTTCCAGCAGCTGATGCTCCCCACCAATAGATGGAGCCTTCCAACGCAGGGCCGCTTACGGAGGATGCTCTTAGCACGGGTGACCCCGTAAGCAAGTGTGCCCCTGTAATGAAGCTTTCTCAAAAAAATAACAGCATACAAAGCAAAGGTAAATGGAGTTGGAAACTTGGAAATGTCAACTCTTTTTTTTTTTTGTTTTTTTTTTTTTTTACTGTCAGCTTGGACTCTTGGAGGAATGAAAAAAGGGGAAAAAAAAACAGGAAATAGGCGCCGCAAACAGAGAGATAAAAAATGAAAATTGAGAATGGGGAGGAGGAGGGACGGGTAGGTAAGTGAAGGGGTTGTGACATGGTGGAAGAGATTCAATGCCTCTGCAAATTTCCAAGTGCCGTGAAAATGGACTGGGATCTGAACACAAAATGTGAGCACCTCAGCTCGCAAGTAGTACAGACGATGCGTTTTGTGGGAAATACACAGGTGGCCAAATTGTGTGACATGGCGGATGCATGCAACCACTGTGCAAGTCTAGGTGCAGGGGAAATGGACGAGAAACTGGAACATCAAATTTGAGAACTTGATCAAATAAATCCTAGGCAAACCACCAGTAATTCAGAGCCACCTTTTTTTTTTTTTTTTTTTTTTTTTTTTTTTCAAGTTGTGCAAGGAATATGAGTGTGAACGATATACAGAAAACCAATGTTGTGAAATCACACAGATGTCCAGGTAGCCGTATCCAAGCAGAGAGTACAAAATCCACCGCGAAACCATCCATATAGAGCAATACAATGAAGTAATGAGCCAATGTTCAAGCCCGTAGGCCACACCAACACAATGTCCAAAGCCGCTCCTCTCTGTCCGGCACCCAGCGCCCAACCCACTCTGCCCGACTATCCTACCTACAGCTGGTTCACACAACAGGCTCACTTCGACTCTCGAAGACCAATGTACATGACTGGCAACTCCATAGCCGACCTCTCTTCATGCACCAGGTAGGTATCTCGTCACCCTCAATCAAACCTTGATTACCCCACACTGCGCCTCCTTCCCTGAAGACCACCAGATCACCCTCTGTACCCCCTGGCGCCCAGCAGCCCGGCTATGGCCGCCTGCGCCTCGCTGCCCTGCAACGCCCCACTTCACCACTACGCGCCCCGTCAGCGCCCTTGGCAGCAGTGCAGCATCAAGCGATAGCGCAGCAGCACTTCCGCATGGGCTGCACTGGCCAGAATGCCTGGCCTGGGCTGCCTCACTTCTTTTATGGAAGTGGCAGCCTCCTGGATGCTGCATGTGGCCTGGCTGGAAGCTTCCAGTAGCTTCCGGTTGGGCCTCAGACCCTGTGCCCAGGCCCAAGTCTCCGGACTTGGTCTGTTTGCTGCATCTGTGCAGGGCTCCCAGGCAGGTGCGTCGGTGGTACTGCTTTTGCAAAGGCCCATAGCCTGCTTCCCAACATATCGGCCCTGCTTTGTGTGTATGTGCCCAGGCGCCTGGGCCAACTGTATGACGCAGCTTTGTGAGGCTCATGCGTCTACCCAACCAACTGGCGTGCTGCGAGAGGCTGAATACCTACATATGGAAATGTCGAATTTGTTCCTCGCAGTTGGACCTTTTCTCGATTCAATTTCTTTTTCCTTTTTTTTTAGGAAAATCCTCCATATATTCCAAGATTGCAATCGAGGCCGGGGACCTCACAATTCTACCTAAGCACTTACCGTTCCCCACTACCGGGTACACACTTATTGATGTGCGCACATAAACCAGGTCTGATAAACTGATGAGAGATCTGGCTATAGCCAATCCAGATTACAGCTTATATATATACTGAAATACCCAGGGACTAACCATTCCAAAAGACTCTAGCTATAAGTGGCCTATGCAAAAAGCAAAAGAGAGATATCAACTTTAACTGCTTCAATCATCTATCCTCCTAGTACTCTAATTATGCAGCGCAAGGCCCTGAGACCTATAACTACTGAAAAATACCAGGGAGTTGTCCACAGCTAATGAACGAGCGCTGTCCAAGCACAGTCTTACTAAGAACAGGAATAGAGGCCTAAATGCGGCCTCTTCTCACTCATGGGCATGCGGTCAGTTTCCTTCTTTACCATGAAGGAGCCAGTCTGCCAGGGTAAGGCGACCTTCTGGTGAGATAGTCACCAGATTGCCTGCTTTTATCCATGTCTGAGAAAACCAATATCTATTTTTCCTTGTCTGGGTTCGAGCAGAGTGCCCGTCTGTCCGGATCGTCTGTCGCATCAAAGTCTCCGCTGTACTGGTGAGTTCCTGAAAGGATGTTTCCTCCTTTTTGAAGAGATCTCTATTCCGAGTCTTCCAAATTGCTTCCATAATAGCACCTCTGCATGCCAGGGCTATGTAAGCAAATCCTGAAGAGAAATCTTGGGTGGAGTCTGTCTTTCCGAAGAGTATCCATTCCTGTGACCAGGGAAAACAGTTACTACTGCCTGCTACTAATTTCCATTTCTCCTTCCACCATTCCCATATCCTAAGGGAATGAGGGCAGTATCACCATACATGGGATGCTGTTTCCCATCCCCAGTTGCAACGAACATATTGCTCACCAATCTCCATTCCCTTAGCTGCCAACCACGTAGCCAATTGTGTCACCAGGAGTAGCTGAAGCCATGCCAAGCTAGCCTGCTTCTGGGAGACCATCCCCTTCAACCTCCCCCATAGCCCGAAGAGGTCCAGGTTCCCCAAAGAAAAACCTGGCTCCTTTGAGAGGCCGTCAGCAGCAGTCGCTACCCGTTGCTTCTCGATTCAATTTCAACGGACGTCCCGAAGGACAATTCAGGGCCACTTTTGCCCACCACGCTAAGCGATGGGTTTTTATTTATTTATTTATTTATATATATATATTTCCCCTTGTGCAAAACCTTTATCCTGGTAGTGATAAGAGCACCACCGAGATTCAGGGTTTGCCTACCGGGCTGCTCCATCTAGTGGTGGGGAGCTACACCTGCTGGAAACAGGGTCCAACGTCCATTAATTACCAGGCCCTGAAGCTGTTTTTCTTTTTAGCCTCAAAGTGGAGCTTCCGCGTCGGCATTTCCCTTATTCTTTTTTTTTCGGCAAGGCTCAGGCTCTCATTCATTTTAACAACCGGATTGGAGGGGCTTGGGGCCCCTGCCTGGGGTACATGGGTTTACGGATTGGATGGCCTGGTGCCCCTTGGCGCTTGTTTTTCCCTGTTTTTTAGGCTTAGTGGATACTGTTCCCGCCTATGCTTTTGTCGCTTCGATAGGTCTCATAGTCTTGTAGCTGTAGTTCATCCACTATTCTATAGTCACTTCTTGCCCCCTCTATTCGTCACACCAAGCCCGACCCCTGAGGAGAGCTGACCGAAACAGCTGTCGGGTTTCTAGTGATTTTCAAGCTCATCACTTGTTTATGAACAGGTACACGTGTGTGCGATTCAGCCACATGGGCTGAGTCACAACTTGCTGGATTATCCAGCTATGTGGCTAGCAGCTATTTGCTCACTGCAGCTATTTTTGGTTACTGCTCATTGCCAAGTGTTTCCCCGAGAGGAGCAGGATCCAAGATTTTGAGTACTATGATCCCAATGACCTGGTAATGGGCGCCATTAACGCAATCTCAAAATGAGTGCTTTCAAGAAAATGGACACTGCTGGGTAAGCAGCGATGGACAATCACTGGGGCAGCAGCGATGGGAAATGCACGTCACCGTTGTTCCCCGGGAGTGCTAGCGGTGTCTGCTCTTACCAGCATGATCGCTAAAACAAAACAAAAAAAGCAAAAAGAGTTCAGCCTAACAGCAGAGCCTCCACACCATGCCTGGGGCTCTCTCCCTCTTGCCAGGTGGCAGGCGAATAGGGGCGCTGGACGAAGGCTTCAAGCAGCGACCTAGGAGTGAGGAGTCGCTGGCTGGCCAAAAGCATGACGAAGTTAGATGGTGGTCCCCCCCTTTCCAGGCAGAGGGAGGTGCCACCCACGATGTGAGCAACAGGGCACCTGTCCAGGCGTGGAGCAGAACGCCCTCCACTGTGACGTGGTGTCATTCTTGATTTAATCTCTTGAATATTGACTTGGTGGGCCCTATCATGGGTTCACCCCATGAAAGTCATTTTGAACTGAACAAGGTGTGAAGGGTACCTTTTCCAACATGCGGAACACTGTATGTACACCACGGAAGGAACGCAAATGGACCCAAAAAAAGAAAAAAAAAGAAAGGAATGCAAATGGGTCCACCTATGGGACTTGTAGTGAAACATCTATACCTAGCGCCTGAAGTACCCGGGCGACAGGCTCGTTCGACTATGCTTTGATCAAGGCTGAGTGGGGTGTGGGGGACTCAGCTTACCCCTGGTACCTGCAAGTGCTATCTGGTCAAGGTCACCCCCAGACTGGAGGGTGGCGATCCTGAGTGGTAGACACTGAGGTAGGATAGTGGGAGTAGGGATTAGCACCGGGGAGAAGTACGGGAGTGGTAGGTGGGGAGGGAGTCCCATAGGAATAGGGGGCCTCAGCCACATAGCCGAGTGCCGAAGGTGACTCTCATACGTATAGAATCCGGCCTCTACATCAACCTGGTCTTTTTTATTGAAAAAAGAAGAAAAAAAAAACGAAGAACATGGTGTTTGTACGTGCGTGTCCGGGCGTTGCTGAAGGCTCTCTTCTTTGCTGTTTCTGTCATGTGCTTGCGTGCTTGAGAAGAAGAACACGGGGACAGCGTGTCTCATATCATGGTCTCGTGGGAGAGGAGGAATATTGCGGGGGGGGAGCGAGGGGAGGCAGGCAGGGTTTCATGGGCTAGAGGGAGAGTATTACATGAAGGAATGGAAGGAGGAACGCGGGTGTAAGGATGTTGAAGACAAGTCTTCTATAGGCGAGCGACGTCTGCAACGATGACACCCCTCCATCTCTTTGGGCTACCTGCGAGGGGCTGCTGGCAGGCTCAGCGGTTTAAGTCTCGTGACGTGGTTTGGATTGCTGTGATGGTAATCCTAGCTGCGGTCCTGTTATCTTCATCGTTCGGTCCTTTGGGATGGTTGAATAGTTGTCAACCACAGGCGGCCAAGTTGCTTGAGAGCCGATGAAGGAGGAGGTGAGGTTTGGAGAGAGAGGGGGGTGCATTTAGGGATTGTCGAGGGTAAACTGTGTTCTTCCCCTTCACATTTTGTAGTGATGATTATGTGATGACCCTGATGAGACTCTTAACGATGTGATTCCTAGATCGTTTTGTCTGGTTCAATACCTATTAGTCTTTCTAACCTTGAATTCTAGATATATAACGAAAATATTACAAATAACTTTGATTCAGAGGTTTGAAAATCAAGATTAAATCAAGATTAATTCTGACCTATTTTGTTTGACCTAGTTTGTTTGTCTATTTCTTTCGAATTTCACATCATTAGCCGTATCGATTGTCGTATGTTTGGTTGCTGAATTACTTCCTGGAATTATTATTAGCCTGAGATTCATAAATTAGAGGTTGGGCACCTCTGATTTCTTAAAAGTACTTTTCAAATCTTAACTCAATCTCATTTGATCTTCTGATTTGTGTCGATGCTTAAATTCATGGTAGGTAATCTTGATTTCGAAATTCTAGTCATTCTGATGTCTCAATAGTCATTCTTATGCATGGTTCTGACTTTTTATCGTATCTTTTTTGGTGTTTCCTATTCTATGTACTGGTAGTTCCAAAAATGTTCCATCTGTTGCTGGAAATTGTTCCTATCTGTTTGTGGCTATTGAATCTGAATGAAATTATCTCCTTTAGGGTTGGAGCCCCTCCCTGTGAGGGTTACATAGGGTGGGTGGTATGATCCTTGAGAGGGAGGGGCGATGTTGAGGGTTTGTCCTTCTCTGGGCCACGCTGATTTTTGGGTCGGATCAGCTATGGCGGTTGGGGAGAGAGGACAATGATGTCAGCGTGGTGAGATGTTGAAGGGCTGTTTCACTTGGAGGGGGTGGGGCAGGAGGGAAGGGGGATCTTCGGCTCTGCGGGGCATATTTTAGGGGGTACTGTATGCAGCTGAGGGAGCAGGAGTGGTATTTAGGTGGCTGTTCTGAACTGGGGTTGGGAGGTGAGGGGGCGCTTCCCCGCGGAGGCAGTGATCAGACAGGGGGGCGTTTTTTGGGGGGAGAGGAGTAATCTGTTTTGGTTCTTATGAGCCTTGTACATGCAATCGAGAATTGAATAGGCGCTAGAGTTTCCATGGGGGAAGAGGTTGTTTTTTCCCTTCCCTTCCCCTCTTCTTGGAGGAATAGTAGGAGCTGAAACGTGTATATGGTTTTCTCGATCTTCTGATTTCCTGATTTCTCAATATGTTCTTGAATGGGATTGAATTTTCTGATTAAAAAATTCTTTATAAGCCGACGCTGGTGGCAGGGGGCTGTGGTTGCGATGATGGGGGATAATGCACTCTGCGGCCATGGGGCTAGCCTACAAGGTAGGGTACAGCAGCGGTGAAGATGGTGGCTTCATTGCAATAAGACTTGTCGGAGTAGGGTTATGAGGGATTTTATGTGGGATATCTGCAACCAATGGCTGAAGGAGCTGAATGATCGGAACTACAGTTATGGTGCTGATTGGTGGTTTGTCTGGCATTTGCTGTAGTCTTGGGTCCCCGTGGGTTTGCGAATGGACGAGGCCAGAACGACGTTGGTCGATGTTGGGGCTTGGTCGTGCTGCCCTGTAACTCGAGTTGTACGAGGGCAAGAGACCTGGTAGAAAGATCTAGGGAGTTGTCGAGGGTGGAAGGCACTCTAGTGTCCTTTGGTAAGCTGGTACTTAGTCGACGCTGGTCAGAGCCGAGGCGGGTCGTTTTGCCCTGTAGCCTAGCAGGTGGGAGTCTTCTAAGGTGGGTCGTGCCACTCTGTAACCTAGCAGTTGGGGGTGTGAGGCCTAGTAGAGACTAAGTATCGGGATACAGGGATGAGGCAGGTAGGGGTGGGCTACTGAAAGGCTCTAAGGCAGGTATCTCCCGATCTGAATGTTCTTCCAAAACAAAAGGGCCCTTTGCATTTAGTATTGTATAGATGTTTGCTAGTACTTGGTGCAAGTTATTCTCAGATTGTTCTTAAAAAACCTATCATCAAAGGGCGTCCCTGCTCAGTTAACCCCCTGGTTCCGGGGCAATCAATGTTGGCAGGCAGAGGTCTTCTTAATCGTTTTTCTCAATTTTTCTAAAAAGAAGACCCTTGAGAATGCCTTAGGATTCTGGGTACTCCTTGCAACTCGTTTTAATATATTTGATGTTGTTATATTCATGGACCTGCGGTTTTTCGATGCCAGAACGACGCTGGCCGGTGTTGGGGGGTTGCCCTGTAACCTGTTGATAGCAGGAGCATGAGGACTGGTAGAGAGATCTGGGGATGCCTTGGACCGGGCATTCCAAGGGAAAACCAAGGGTTGATGTCGGGACGCCGCTGGCCGGAGCTGGGGTGAGTCGTATTCCCCTGTAACCTAGCAGGGTGGGGGCAGAGGCCTTGGAGAGCTCGATAGGGAATTATACAGTGTTAGAGAATTTTAGAGTGTTTTGTCGGGGAGTCCATGGGTTCTGAGCATTCGAAGGACTTTTGTGGTAATTGCTGCTTGAGTAGCCTAGCAATCGGTCAACAGTTTTCCACGTTTTTCCTAAATCTTCCTGAACTTTTTTTATAATTTTTAGATTGCTCTTAGCTGAAGCCAGGTAATAACCTTGGTATTTCAAATCATTTGTATATTCTACATGGGACGCTGGGCCCGGTTCCCAGCACGTGTTGCTCCCCACGAATATATTGGAGTAGTTGTCCCAAAAAAAAAAAAAAAAAAAAAAAAAAAAAAAGTATGTGCGCTTCCCATGGAACTGCAGGTAGGAGAGTTTCTTTTCTGCTGCAGATTTAGCTGTTTTGTCCGGATAGGTGCCAAAGGTGACCACATTCCACTAACTGGAACTGAATGACATCGACTTTCAAGTGGATTTCTACTTCAGAAGGAAAAAAAAAAAGGCGATTTCTACTTTAGAGGAAAAAAAAAGGGGTGGCGTAAATCTTTTTTTTTTTTTTTTTTTTTTTTTTTTTT